ACTGGGGCTGGACGGCTTGATGGGGAGGAGCGGGACAGTGAGTTGCAATCAGCCATCTACCTCTGCCGTTCTAGAGTACGCAGAATCTAACTGTCCACTTAGGCGGCATCCTCAAGAAGTGCCAGTACTTCAACGACCTAAACGAAGTGCTATTCCACCAAGCGGCTTCCATGCCGAGTAACGGCGCTGATACCCTCAGCACGGGCGATGCGGACCCTTCTTCTGTCCAGCTAGACCACATCATCCGACATATTCTGGGGAAGGATGATGACGTTGAGGACATCGAGGATGACGAGGACGAGGACGAGGACGAGGAGGACAAGGATGACGGGGACGGGGAGGAGGATGGGGACGGGGAGGAGGATGGGGACGGGGAGGAGGATAAGGATGATGATGACAATGGGGATGGAGAGGAACGCCCTCCAATTGCCGGTATGTGCTGCTCTTTCCCATGTCTGGGTCTCCGCTGATAGTTCTTGCAAGTCATCGCGACTCCAGCTCGCCAATCTGTTGCAGGCAGTCGTAAGGCGGCTCACACTCCCAAGACCCCTCTCAGTCTCCATGACTCTGCTGGTAAGGGAATGGCGGCGGACGATGAGATGGAGCGCCTGCAGAAGAATGCCGAGGAGCACACCCAGCGCCGCCATGATGAGATGATACTGGTTGAGAAGGAGAAGATGATGGCTGAGAAGGAGAGGATGATGGCTGAGAAAGAGAGGGTCGAGATCGAGAAGGAGAAGGCGGGGCAAGAGGTGTTGTCCTCCAAACTCGAGATGTGGCACAAGCACATTGTGTTCAACATGGAGAGACGAGGTATGTCGTATGAGGCTGCCTCGGAGGATGCCCGCGCGATGATGCCTTCTTTCATGGGATAGATAGATAGACAGAAAGATAGATGGACCGCCCTATGTAAATATGCTTTCGCTGATTCAACATATGCATTTCACCCCTTCTTCCCTGCATATCTACAATTATCGCCTCGCCTGCCTGCCCCTTGCCTGACGCGGCACCGTTGGCTCCAACCCCATCTCCCTCATCACCCTGTGTCGAGTGTGA